TATATATACATATATATACAGTATATATACTGTATTAGGGGTGAAACATTACATGTAGCCGTATCGAACTGTTCAATACAGTGCTTTAGGTTCAATACACACTTGTATCGAACAATACAGATTGTTTTTATTTATTTTATCAACTTGTCTTCTAAAGATGCTCTGTGTTGAAGGATCAGTGGGTCTGTATTCGACTACTCCACCTAGGCTGCATTTTTGAGTGCAGATCCACTGAGAAACTTGCTGTTTCAGCAACATTTAATTAAAAAACTGTACTTTTTTAGGTTAAACAAATGTTCATATACTTAATTTAAAGAAATTACAAGTTAAAAAGGGCATGGAGAATTCTCTTTTTTGGTAACGAAATATATCGAACCGTGAGACTAAAGTATTGAACCAAACCGAATCTTGAATATGCTAGACAATACATTCACATTTTCTTCCCTTAAAGATGTTTCAGCTAGCATTAGCATTGTGGGAGAGCCAAATGACTGGCTGCTGAGTGCTGACAACTAGGGGTTGGAGTCTAAAATACAACTCAGAATTGAGCCGCTGGCATGAAGATTTACATTTTAAGCCTTAATTAAAAATTGATAGTGATTTTGATAATTGATACAGTGTCAGGAAATTAAATATTGCAATATTTTGGTGTATCTATATTTTCTTACACTTCTGTTCTATACGTTCTAAGCTTTAAGGCACAAACAACTTCCACACCTACAGTCTCTCACTATTCACAGAAAAATCTCACACTCAGTGAAAATGGAAGCAAAGCATGTCTTGGAGTGAAAGTAGAATTAATCCGCAGCGGAATAATCAGAAGCTGCCAGTTCTAAATTGCACGAAAATACACACAAACAAACTAAAAAGATTAAAGAAAATGCAAGATAGTTTAGGTGCTGCAGCTCACCATGACAGAAGAGCTCCGTCTCGATCCCAAAGGTGTGCTCGGGAGGGAGTTAAGCGATGAGCTGGCATTAAACTCCTCTGAGCTGAGATTCTCTGAGCCGTCACCATCGCTGAGTCCACTGCTGATGGAGCTGCTCTCATCCCAACTGAAACAAAAGRAAAAGATGCTCGCTGTGTTAAACATTTTTTATTAACCATCCATGTGGGCGTACACCACAAAAACATGTACAAGTCTGGGGTTTTAAAGAGGGGGAATAAGCATAAAGTGACAGAGGTAATCTCCAAATGTATGGCTTAGACTGTTCCTGGAGTCAAACCAGCAGTTAATTCAAATTTGGCAGAAGAAGCTTGGAAACAGCTAATGCATCAGAGCAGAGAGCCGCATGACGGTCAAATCTTTGGCAGCCGTTCCAGGTTTTTTCTTCACTTCATGTTTTGTAAATCTTTCATATTTTAGACTTGAAAAAAGGATGTGAAGTTAAATGTACATGAAACGTAATAAGATGAGACATTCTTGATAACAAATGACAGTGACAAATCCTGGATTTTTAAAAGCACACGTTTTTGTCTCACCAGAAAGTATCCTCTTTTCTTTCTTCACTTTTTCATAAAATTAAATGCTCGCTTGGAAAGTTTTCACCATGTAAACCCAATCATTTCCAAACCTTTCCAAAAAGGAAACGTCATTTAGCCAACAAATATAACRTTTGTGGGAAACTCCCTTCCAGCAATCATAACAATATGGTCAATTTGGAAAGCTAATTTTACTATATTAAAATACACCCCTCATGTCTTAATAAATCACAGTGACACAGAATGATTTTTTTAAACCAGGAAAAACCCACCCAGATCTTTATCTGTAGCCTCAGGGTAAACTTGCTAAAATGTGCTGCTAAATTATCTTAAACAAAAACTATGATATATGACAGGAAACGTTTTGTGTTCTGTTAGGTTTTCTATTAGATGAGAAGCAGAACGCTTCACTCTCTGAAACCGACGCTGCTTGACTGAACAGCATTTCTAAAACCATTCATAACTAAATACAATTTGTTGTTCCATCAAATAGCATTTTAAAATAGAGGCATATGAACAATAATGTMTTTTAAAGCTAAAAGGATGTCCAGCTCAGATTTTGTAAATTATGCWCCCCATCATCACCACCGACAACCACAGGTGGTATTACATTTGTGCTGGCACATAAAAGTACAGCACAGTGGAAAAAGGTAAAATAATATAAACCTTTAAAGCTGACTCACTGCTTGAGATGAATCAGTTATTTTCCCTTCTTTTTTTGGTTTTCCCCACTGAGCTGAACATCCTCTCTGTGGGTCTGAGGTCTGCAATTAGCAAAGGCATGGAACTTGGAAGAGAACTGGAACAAACAGAGACAAAAATGGCTTTTAAATGCTTTGAACTGAGGATAATCGCATGGCTCGAACCGAGTGGTCGTGAAACAGAAAGTTGCTTTTTTGTAACCCTGCTTTTAGAGTGCTGATTTTGGGCATTTTGATCCAAAAAGAATAAATTAAAGGTGCGTTACTCAAAAGCCGACTTCAACAACAAATTGTCCGTTTGACAGTAATCCGTTCAAAGGTTTCCAAATCCTGTCTACATGATCTGTGCAGTTTTGCAATATTTACTAAGTGCAGATGTTTGTGGTGTTCTCTAACAATACCTCCTCTGTCGAAGGCGACATGAATAACCCCCACAGCAATGTCAGCCTAAGAGCCAGGAAGGTTTGTGGGCTGCTGATATTACAAGCCTGTCTGCTCTCAGAGGTAAAAAATCAAGACAGGGCAAGTGTAGGAGTACAACAAAGAAGTGCATACTTCTTCCTTAGGGTGGCAATTAACATTTTTGTTTTGTTTTATTATTTTTCATGGCACATCTCCAATGTTTTTTTTTTTTTTTTTTTGTGTGGATCTGAATTGAGATGCTGCTTAGGTTTAAATAAGTCTGAGGGGCTCGACAGGAGTAGATTAAGCTGTGGGCTTTCCTATAAATTTTTATGGACTTAGTGAACACATAGTTTATGGTGAGAGCAAACACGGTGAAAAGCACTGCAGAGAAACAGATCAAGCATTGTAAAAATGAATTTAACAGAAAAAAAAGGGAGGTTTGCCAAGCATGTTCTTGTACTGAATGTGTTTATTTTAAAGCCAGATAAACACCTAATAAAACATGCAACTTGGAGTCCAGACTGTATTTTCTGCTTGATTTGGCTTCTGGGAGTGGATCCCAGCTTAGTAATGAAGACAAACTTCATCATTCAGATAACTGTGAGAGAGCACCATATTTCTCTCCATGAAAGTGTCTCCACAGACTTTATGTTCACATTTCCCCCCCACACTCTTAACTCTAGAATACAATGAGAGAAAAATATCCAAATTGAAACCTGAGAAATGAATCCTGTCAAATAAACTGTAAGCTGTCTTATATAAAAAGTTTTAAAACAAAATAAAAAAATAAACAAGGCTAAATTAGAGTCTAAATGAAGACAGTCAGATTAAGAAAGTCCAAAGTTGAAGAGTGAGRTACCTCTGTGGTGTAAAACGTAAAGTCCGTCTTGCCCTCGACTGAAGCGGAGGCACTTTCTCAATTAAAACCCGGCTGCTCATCTGTGACTTTCCTCTTTTTTTTTTGGCTTGAATTAAAGCTTAACTTCCTGTAATTATCCGCACGAGGCTGACATTTAATCCTCCGCGAGCCCAGACTCCTTTTTACCACCCATTTAGTCCGAGGAGAAGAAGCAGTCTGCCTCTCTGCTCCCATCCACAGAGGAGAGAGAGAGAGATGACGAGAGCGCGAGGAGCTGCGTAGAAACCATGGCAACACGTATCACTCCGCTGCGGARTGACGTAACTAATTAACAGGAGGATCAAAAAGGTCGTTTAATAGGATTTTCAGTCGATTTTATCAGCAAATATCTAAACAAACTACGTAATGCAATATATTTTTTTATAGAATCCATTGTTTTTAAAAATCATGGTATTTTGACAAAATGTCAGTTAGTATTTTAATTATACCTTTGCAATTTTAGAACCAATTGTTATAAATATACTAATACTAGCTATATTATTCCAGTTTGGTTTGCTGCATATTCCTTCCAATACATTGCGTTACAAAAAATCAAAAATGAAATTGTTAATTTTATTAAATTCATCAACAGCTCTTTTTTAAGTAATTTTTGGACCACTGGGAAATGAAAGAAACTGAGCCATGTGAGAACAYGGATTTTAAGGCTTGCAGAGAGGTTCTCTCCTGACCTTTATCTCTCAAATGCCACAAACATGCAGGTACCGTCAAAACAGGAGAGAACGTCAAAACAGATTTATATCATGCTGCAGATACAGGGTGCTGTATCTCCGGATTTCTTTTCTTTGAATAAATACAAAGCATAAAATACACTGAAACTTTCAAWATTTAATCAAATATTTGTTGGTTTYAACTACAGTTTGATCCCAAACATTACTGTAAAGAAATCTATGATCAATAATAATAAAAACATTAGCAGTTTAGGACTTTSACTGCACTGCTATAATTGGAAAAAAAGAATGTTAAAGTACTCGATAAAGAAAACTAATGTAATGGTAGTTTCATTTTCTCCAAKAAGTGGTTTCCCATAATGAACTGGGTAAAGAAAAAACACATTTTCTCCTTTTAATAATTACTGCCTGTTCTTTAGCTGGTGGAAAAAAAACACAGTTCAAGGTAAAAATCGAAACCACTGCAAGAAGAACCTCAGAACCGCAGATGAGACACGGATCTCCTGTGGTGCATGAGCGTTGGAAAGTTTCCCCCCCCCCCTGACATTAGCAGTGGAACAGTTTCGCTGTGAGTTCTGGTGATCTCAGTTCAGTAAAACACTCCAGGAGGTAATGTTCTGGGCCAAGACTGCCCCACATCGTCCACATCTTCAGTCAGGATTAGTTCATCTGTAGCTGGAGGTTGGGAAAACAACACTCTGAATCCAAACGAGTTTTTACTGTAGCAAATTCCTAGTTGTCAGTGAGATTTACGTTGCTTCTCTGCTTGCAAATTACACAGAAAACAGRCCTAKTYAGTCACATTTCTGTTTTCTAAAACRTGCATGTGTGCAACTGTGTTGCCTGCAACAGAAACAAAGATCTAAGCAGCTCAGTGGTGTTTACGTCCTGTTTATCTCAACCAGACTCCACTGCTATAAAGCAAAGGGTCATCCAAACAACATTCAAGTCATGTTTGCTCTGTGTGTAGTAACAAGTGAGCCACACTGATAAGCAAACAGTTCGTGTCGGATGCACTTTCTGTAAATTTGTAAAGCTGCAGCTGGGTTTACAATATTTACAAGCTCTAAATACAGAGATGTAACAAATCGGTGAGAATTTTTAGCAACTTGTTTTTTGATACGACAGAACATCACTCATAGGGTCTCTGACGTTTAATTATTATTATTATTATTATTTGGCTTTGGATTGTTCTCATCTCCTCCTTATGCAACAAACATTGTGCTGCTTCTACTTCTCATCCAGCAAGTTTAATTTGAATAGAATGTCAAAAATAACTGGACAGGAAATGAATAAATTCACCAGCTGTGACTGTGTTRGCTGAAATTATTACATAAAATTGCAATGTATCAAAGCTTGTATGCATTGTTGCAACTATTCCCTATTCTTAAAGATTAGAGATACTTCAGGTTGTCAAATTTTAAGTTAAAAATTGATAGTGTTGTTCACTATTAACCTTAAAATACCAAACATCCAAACAGTTTTTTATATATATAAAAACAACGGTAGCTGTGCTGTGATGTCATTGCTCCATGTGGTGTAATGACTTCAGATCTCCAGCAGAAGGCAGAAGAATGTCATGCTCTGCCTGGCATACATTTACAATGTGATGTGCTCTAGTGAATTAAAATGAAGCACCACTTGACATAAAAAAACACGTGGTTGCGTGCCTTGATGCTGAAGAGGAGCAGACATTCCTTCATTGTCGAGATTCACATCTGAAGCACAATGTGAGACATTGTTTTAGAAGCCTCAGAMCACAGAGCCGAAYGCACAGATTAATGTCTGCCTGCATMTTTTTCTTTCAAGAACTGCACAGATAATAAAACCACTCTGATTGTTTACTTTGATTTAAATAAATCTTGACAATAAGTAAGCAT